TATATTTATATTTTAATATTAAAAAATGAAATATGTTACATTTAAGTTTTATAAATAAGAGAATAAAAAATAAAAATTGATAATAATAATCACCTTCACTGATTTTTCATTAAAAATGAAAAGAAAGTTTTCTTTAAAAAAAATTGTTGCTCTCCTCTCTCTTCTTTTTTTTTTTTCATTTTTAGAGTTTCAATTTTTTTTTTAATTTAATTATGTTAAAATTAATGTTTACAAATGAAATTTTTATATTTGTAAAATATAAATGCTAATAATTAATAATTTAAATATTAATAGATAAATAAATGTTTATATTTGGCTTGGGCATATATATCTACTATAGGTAGCAATGCTCACTGTTGCAATAATTGTTACTCACTTTAATTCAACATACATGTTTTTTTGACCTTGAATTGGTTTAATTGTCTTTTTAAAGGAATTGATTTGCCAACAATTTCGACGGCTAGGATAATTCATTTCCTTTGCTTCCTTTTTCATCCTTTGCTCTTCATGTTGTTTTGCTTGTTATAGACTCATAATACAAATAATCAAATCAAGATGGTTTATTACATTGCTGTTTGTATTCTGTAGTGCTCAATAACCTATTATATGATGACCCACAATGTGGTGACCGTCCCATAATCAACTTCATTCAACATGACCCCTATCTGAACTAAATTATCACATGGGCTAATTACAAAATATTAGGACAATCAATCATCAACAAGTTCCTAATGCAAGACAAGTCAAGTAACTTCAAAATATTACATGATTGCTCAGTGTGTACGAATTCAGATTATTGTTATCCTGTAGAAAAATGAATTGACCCCAGATTCAGATGATTTTCCATCCTTGCCGGAAATACGGACAATATGCTTGAACGACCTATTGTTTCCCCACGAATGAACTTTTACAACTGCAGCCTCCCACCGCACTTGGATTTGTAGACACCTGCGTAAGATATTGAGATTTGGTTACTGCAGTCCTGCACATTCTGTATTATACCAAGGATAAGGAGACACCAATGGCATGCTACCAGACTCGAGAAAAAAAAAATGGCCCAGTGAAAGGAGGCATAAACTAGATGTGAAGAATGATTATTGACAGAAGGTATTGCTAAACTAAAGCTACTCAACGCTTCATTTATGAAGTTACAAATGTTAAACCTTGCAGACTAAGGTAGTAACACACTAATCTTATGGGACATAAATTATTACTACGAGAATCTCTCCACTTACCTTAAGGCTCACATTAATTGCACCATCCAATTTCGGTCAATGAATTTGTACAAACAATTCTGGTCAAATTAGCATTAGACTTCAGCACCAACTTCATATTGTGAAGGGATATGGAAAGGATAAGACACATTATACAAATGCTAAGAAATATTGCACGAAAAAGGAGGTTAAGAATGTATATCCCATATAAGCTTGCAATTTATGATTAATAATAACATAAACAACTTAATGGACGTGCAACTGCAATCAGAGATGTGCATTGATAAGAAAGTAATTACCCAACCAGAATTCTCTCCTATCAAAGATAGAAACACTAAAAATCACAGTTTTTGCATTTTAATGTTGCTATATAAGATTTCTTACCATCACTCTGGCACTAAGAAAAGGTCATTCTTATAGTCGATTGCTTGAGTTGCTTTTATTGAGAATGATTTATAGTAGTGTTGGTAAAATAAAGTAAAATAAAATAATAAGAACAAAACTTCCTCTTGTCTAACTAAACTTAGACCAATTGTTCTCACCCCACTGCCTTCCATCAATCCAAACAAATGGAAAACACATGATAAACAAATAGTAGCACAATCTCTTAATTACACAGGTGACATTCGGGCACTACTTGACTCTCTTTTGGCTAGTACTGCCTATTCAGGGTGCAATTGAGGTAGCAGAAGGAAAACAATAGTTGGGGGATACCCATACACTTGCTGTCATGCCACAAAAACATAAAAATGGGTTTTATTTTGGAGTGTGGTATTGGAGGTTACCTCTCCTCCAATCATCTTTGCTAACAAAGAAACACCCTTCTCTGTGCAAATAGGAGATGAGAAAACATACATCCTAAGGTTTTGACCATACATACTTCAAAGCTCAGTGCCATCAATTGTGTAAAAAATATACTACTAGTCTAAGAAAAACACAAAAAGATATGGATTTGACATCTACCCTACTTACTAGTTAATCAATTTTAGATTCTTGAATACTATAAGTTTTCCCATCATGAAATAAGATTAGAATATCTTTTACCTACTAGGAAAAAAATGAATTGAAAAGAAATATATGCTCAATGGGATATAACATGACTTACCAGGCATGCAGAACGATTTAGCTCCTCAACATAATCAACAGTTACCCCTTTTACAAAATCATATGAAATATCATCAACTACCAACTTTACAAATATAAAAGGATAAGAGAAAATTAGGTTAACAGCAAAACAAGAAGAGAAAGGAAACAAGCATATCTCATATTTAGCAAAAATAAGGGATTAAAAGCATGGTAAGTGAACAAAAATAAGGGATTAATTCTTTGCCATATTCTATAGAATCTAAACCATTTCTTTATTTCAGGCTGGTTTTCTCATACAAACATTCTGCCTAGCATTATCCATTGTTCTTTCCATAGGCATTTTGAGCTGGCAACATAATTAGTTTATGTAAAAAGAAGGCAAAGACAAACAGCAATAAAGGAAGAAATGATCAAAGATGCACATCTGACAAATAAAAAAAAAAAAAGAAAACCTTATCTGCTCCATAATTCCATTATACATGACTGAAACCATTCACTGGAGAGACAAAAATTTAACCTAATCAACGTACAACCCTTCTTTTTATTTTCCACAAAAGCTACGTTACCCAATTAAAAAACAACAACCGAGAGAATCTACATTTAATTTATATAACTATAATTAAGCATTTGATGATCATTGACTTAAAATCAGGTCATGTGTGTGCCTAGAAAATTACCCGGTAACAGGCGGAATAGGTAAGGGAACAGCAGAAATGTGACCTTGACTTGCTCCGGCCTGAAAGAGAATGCAGAGCAGATGGCATGCAGATTGATGAATAGCAAGAAAACCAAGAAATTCACATGCAAATTGAAAGCAAAAGCCATGCTTTATAGAACTCAAAAAGGGGGGCAAAATGTAGTAATAAACCAACAATCTAAAAGATTAAAGTTTGCGAAAAGGGAGCTTACCTGTCGAAGATTGGAGGCTACTCCATGGATCTGGGATGAGGAGGATGAGGATGTCAAAGATCAGGATTTGGTGAGAAGTGTGGCAAAATGGAAGATGGGTAGAGAGGAGGAATCGGAGATGAGGATACCGGAAAGGTCAAGATCAGGATCTGGTGAGAAGTACGGCGTATGGAAGATGGGTGGAGAGGAGCAGTCAGCAGCAGAGGGTGGCAGCAATCGGCAGGCAGGGAAGCAGTATATATAGTGGTTTAATCGTAAATTTATTAAAATATGAGGGTAAAATAGGTATAATGGGCCAATTTCATTAAAAGGAAGCGAGAAGCACCCGCAAAAGCTTCAATTTCTTGCTTCTTCCTTTTCGAAAGGTGGAAGCCAACTTTTGCTTCTCCGGAGCTGAAGCCAATCTAAAAAACTAGGGTGGTTGGTGTAGTTGGAGTTTTTGGACTTCAAAAGGATCTCCCACTAGCTGCATCAAACAGGTATTTATGGTCTGTTTGGCGCAGTTTTTTAAGTATTTTAGTTTTTTTTTGATAAT